AGGCCTCTCTCATCTTTTTAAGTGGGAGAACTTGCACAATTGGTGGCTGACTAAATACTTTTTTGCCCCATTGTATCTTGGCAAACTATGTTAAATTGACTCACTGATAATACTTCTACTACATCGTCGTCATCTCAAAGTCATCGCGATGCTCTGGTTTTCCACTGGGCAAAATTTTCTCATTCCCCCTTTAGCGCAAAGGAAATATAAAAGAGAGATGTTCTGGGATTTTGTTTTAGACCAAACAAAACAAAACCTTACAATAATTAAAGGTTAAGTTATAGCACATCTGCTCAATTTGTCTTTCACACACACACACAAACAACAGTGGTGGTGATGGGGTGATCTTCAGTCAATTTATACTCTCCTTTGTTATTGTCACTGAAAACTAAACCTAGTCATATGCACCTGAGATGCAGCTTTAAGGGGTGGTGCAGAGAAATTAATTAGTCCCTCTTTTCCCCCCCTCCTCTCTTTTTTGCTGCTGCTAGATGGTCTGAAATATGCAATTTTCAGAAATAGGTACTTCAGCTTCCTATTTAAAAAAAAAAAAAAGACAGTGGGTGTAAACAAACATTTTAAAAAGCATGGTTAATGCTTGTTCTTTAGTGTTTGTGTGATGTCCCAATTACTTTGAAAATAATAAAAATTTCTACATACTAATTATTCCTGTTTTGTGATATCACTGATGTTTCAAACTTAAGTGCATTAATCTTGCATGCGACTGTTAAGCTCTTAGAGTTTGCCAAGCCTTTCAAAAGTAGCAAGGTCTCTTGCCCTAATAATTAAATGCTGCTGTCTTCTGCTTATTAGTAATTTCAGTGTATACCTAAGATAAGTCAAACATTAATTTCTTTATAATCCATTTTGTCACCATACTCAAACACTCAGCAATATAACAATGAGGACTAGAAAATTATTATTTAAAAAAGAATACAACTGCTGAGATCTTTGACATTGCAGCATGCAGCTTGAAGACTTCTGTCGTTACATAGCTGTCACCACTGAGCTGTGCAACATGCTATAAATTCTTCAGTCAATTTATACTCTCCTTTGTTATTGTCACTGAAAACTAAACCTAGTCATATGCACTTGAGATGCAGCTTTAACAGAAAAAGAATGAGATGCTGATGTGTATTGATGGAGAAGTTTTCCATTTATATTAATACATTAGTTTAGCTTAGGTTTTTTTCTCTATTCTGCATGATGGAATCATTTGGACTCCCACGGAGCCTAGTACTTGGGGCTCAAGTGTATTTTCTTATAGCATGTAGTTATATTGATACAGAATGAATGCAAGGATAATTTGCTTTTAGATTGGAATTCACACAATAGACCCTTGTTTGTGTATGAGAGATCCCTATTCATTATATTCTATTCTTTTTCTACACTCTCTCATTGAAATGCCCCTTCAATCAATAATATATCATAACTTGGCACTATCTCAGTGATGGATATAAAATTCTGTTTTCATTGCCATTGGGTTTTGAATGATAGATTTGCAGAGTTTCCAGGCAAATTGAAATAAGCCTTGAACTGTATCTCAGCAGGGATACTAAGTTATCCTTATTCAGAATAAATGTCCTTTTTTTTATTCCACACATACCACTAATCCTCCTTGGAGACGGAAGCTACAGGTGCCAATCAAGTCAGCTTTAGAGGAATCAGTACTGTCAATGTTATGCTTGTTTCCTATCTGAGACAAAGGATAGTAATGATATATAAAGTTAACATTAGCACATTAGAGAAGAGAGAAGTTTACCCTCTAGATATATGCATTGCTTCTGGGAATGAGTTAGCTCTGTGTGTGGATAGTTTAGCTTATAATCAGGTGGATTTCCTTGTTTGTTTATATTATGTAAAAAAATTGATAATGTGCTATCCTTGTCATTGTAAGATGGCAGACATTGCTTCTGCAGATGTCCATCAGATCATAAGACTGCCTTACATGTCACTTTTATCAAGAAACATTTAATGAACCTCAGCTGAGTGGACTAAGGGTGCAATGCAAATGTTTGTCTGAACATCACCCCCAAATAAGGGACAACATTTCCATTTCATCCAAAATAGTCTTGATTCACCTAATTTACATTATTGTTGAATCCAAAGTAGTCTGGATGCAAATGATGCAAATTAATTTTTAACGAATGTTTAGATTTAACATATACGCCTTCTCCTCAATGGTCCATAAAACAAGGGAATACTGTAATGCTATTATTCATTTTATTATCACATGTATCATGGCCCTATGTGTGCACATGTCCATGCATTATATCATGCTTTTTTGTTGTTGTTACAGTATGTATAATATATATTATATATCTATATCTTCTGTATGTGTGTATGGATGGAGAGAGAGAGACAGAGACAGAGACACAAAGAAAAACAGATAAAATATAAAATTACCCACCTGAATAAATCCACTGCAGGAGGCCCCTGAAGGCCTCTTCATTGTAGGTTATAGAATGTAATCTATCCCTCTGGTCCAGCTTGTGTTGGTAGATCAATGTTTCTCAACTGAGTGAGAATGACTAACCCACAGTTACACAGCTGGCTTCTGTGTCTAAAGGAAGACTAGAACCTTACTAAAATCTGGGTTCCTAGTCTAGTACCTGAACCACCACCCCACCCTGGCTGTGTGTGTGTGTGTGTGTGAGAGAGAGAGAGAGAGAGGGAGAGGGAGAGGGAGAGAGAGAGAGAAGGAGAGGGAGAGGGAGAGAGAGAGAGAAGGAGAGGGAGAGGGAGAGAGAGAGAGAAGGAGAGGGAGAGGGAGAGAGAGAGAGAAGGAGAGGGAGAGGGAGAGAGAGAGAGAAGGAGAGGGAGAGGGAGAGAGAGAGAGAAGGAGAGGGAGAGGGAGAGAGAGAGAGAAGGAGAGGGAGAGGGAGAGAGAGAGAGAAGGAGAGGGAGAGGGAGAGAGAGAGAGAAGGAGAGGGAGAGGGAGAGAGAGAGAGAAGGAGAGGGAGAGGGAGAGAGAGAGAGAAGGAGAGGGAGAGGGAGAGAGAGAGAGAATATGAATGAATGAATGTTCCCACATTGAAAATTACTTCTGGTTCCTTTGGTTGATCTTTTCTTTTCCCCTCCCCCCCCCCTGCTTGGGTATTTATTGATATACATATATCCCTTTTTTTTTTTAATCATTTGTTACCATTTGTATAGAATAGCTTTTTCAACCTAATGCCTGCAGTTTGTAGTTCTAGCACTTCTGGAGATGGCAAGTTGGAGAAAGCTGCTAGAGATTTCTCTGATAGCTGTGGTAACCCCCAGTCTAGGACAGGTACATTTTATGCCTTGATTCTATTAATCCATCTTTTAATCTACTTTTTTTTCTTCCCTTTAGCCATCTAGGTATGGTATTCTATTTGATGTTTTCCCTATTTTAAACAGAAGATTTTCAATCTCCGCAATACAAAACTACCAGCAGTATGAGGAGTGGGATTATAACATGAGATGATTTTACAAAAATTGCAGATCTGAAAATGCTATAGGTTGTTTTCTAGGGAACTGTCTTGCATAGTGTTGAATCAAAATCATATGACAAGTATTTTAGAATATTCTAGAAGTAATTTTAAATGCCTTTAAAAGTAAAGCCAACAAAAAATAATGATCAAGGAATATCTCAATAATCAGATTAACATTACCTATGTAGATATCTTCTTAATTTTAATTAGCCATGAAGCTATCTTTACTTCATGATTGCTTAAGCATGAGTAAAATATTGAGTAACAAGGCTGCAAATATTACTTGTAAGCATAATAGTTTTACTTTCATTCCTTCAAGAAACCTAGGAAAATATTGTTCTGTACATGAGTCTGGGTTTACAATGACAATAATTTCTGTTTTATAAAACATTTGCTAGGAATCTTCAGCTGAAGCCATGCTAGTTAAAACAATTAATCCAGATTTATCAAAAGCAGATTTCCACTCCAATGCTTCATCCTCTGCTTCTTACGCTTTGATTCAGTATGTATATGACTGTTGCATTCAAATAATGGGAAGGTCTTGACATTATGTTATAATGAAGTTGTCCTTATTAATATTAATTTCTGTTTCAGAAATCAAAAATTGCCACGTATGAAAAAATGTGGGCCTTCATGAATAGCAGGAGGCAGTCAGTGCTTGTCAAGAGCAATGAGGAAGGCATCCAGCGTGTACTCACTTCTGATTATGCTTTCCTAATGGAATCAACTACCATTGAGTTTGTTACACAGCGGAACTGTAACCTGACACAAATTGGAGGCCTGATAGATTCCAAAGGTTATGGGGTCGGAACGCCCATGGGTAGGTTGCACATCCTTTTTCATTTGTATTCCTTAACTGTGGTTGCGACAATAACAGATGTTTCCTACATTGTTCGCCACTCAAGCTGTGTAATAACACTGTGTTCTATTTGTTGTAAGTAGTATTTACAGTGTTATGGTAGTGTCCAAGTAGTACTAGATTGATACGCTAATGGTACTGTGAACATTCAAAATATCAGAAAGCTGTATTTATTTATTTTTCAACTGGAGGAATGTGATCTATGCTAATGAAACAAATTCCTTTTTTATATATGTAATTCCATTAAAACGTTTAAGAAAGAAGATAAGCTATTAGGAACCAATATAAAGTAAGAAAAAGAAAAGAAAAGAAAAAGAAAAAGGAGATAAAAGAAAGAGTTAAAAGTGCAAAAGGAAAGAAAGAAAGAAAGAAAGAAAGAAAGAAAGAAAGAAAGAAAGAAAGAAAG